AAATTAGATAAATTAGATAATAATTTCATCTATAGTCTGAGTCTCATTCTTGTAAAAAATTTGTAAATTGGCTCCGGTCTGTGTCAACTCATGTAGTTGCTCATAACAAATTATTAATAAAAATAAAGGCAAAACCTTACCTTAATACCAAAAAAAAAAAAAAAAAAATATTTACTTTTTTTTATCAAGAACCTGATACAGCAGATTTTGACTACTTCTACTAAAACTTTTCTAATAATTTTGAAATTGCTTTTTATAAAGAAAAAAGTAGTAATAATCCTTATTTTATTTCTTTTAAAATTTAATTGATTTCTTATTTAACAAAAAATCTTAGATTATATAAAATTATTTATTTTTTTTAAACTTCTATCTTTATCTTTATAATTACTTGTCTCTATAACAAATATTATATTAAATTTATTTTAATCTTTAGTATTAATCATATTTGATCTATAGAATTTACTATAATTTATCTTTTTTTTTACTTTCACTAAGGCTGTAATTATCAGCAGCTACTGTCTTTATTGTATTTTAATTATAGTTACATAACTTATGCAAGATGAATATACAACTAGCCACTTATACAACTTTTGATTGTCTAATTTAAGTAGTCTACCTGCACAGCAGGTTTTATACTAGCTGCCATATCTGCAATCTACTAGAAGATTACCTATTTTAAACACTCTAATCTCTATATTATACTGACAGATAGTGCACAAATTTCTATACACCTATATTACAGTCAGGGATTTTACCAAAAATGGATATTGAAGATCACACCTTTTATAATATAAGGATGTCGATCAGAAGGTTCTAGATTTTGTAGCACATGAACATCAACCAATCAAATTAATTAAAAACTTATATACAAGCGAATATGTTTTATTATCAATAAAGCTATTAATGAAGCTTCACCTCTTATTAATAAATATTTTAAATAACAATTTATTCTAGTTAATTAATATCTCCTTTACTAATTACATATTATAATATTCGATTTATACTATTAAACAATATTATCTGTATACACAGTATTGTTTAAAAACATAACCTGTATTAGATATTTTGTTTTGTAATTTAAATCTTTCTTGAATGCCTTGAGTATTTACTTTCGTGAGTTATATTAGTATCTATAAAGTTGTAACTAAATTAAACTATGAAGGTTAAATATAAATAGTGCTTTAAATCTTCATTTAAATATAAAGATAAACTTTTAAGATCATTTTAACTGATGACAATTTTTAACTTCCTATACGAAGTAAATACCTAACTTTAACGTCTTATTTACTTTAACCAAGAAAGATTACCATAAGAGATTTTTTGAGATGATTAAAACTAGACGTCTCAAACTACGTATTCAAAGCCTTTTCAGTTTTACTAACTATTGAAAAAAAAATTTTCAAAATGTATAATGTTTGTGAGAGAAAAACCATGTGAGAGCCAATCACATCCAAGAATGCCCTTGTAGATCATTCTAGAATGCGATTTTCTTATTTAGTAAAATCTCTGCCTGTATTAGATGCCATCTAACCTAACATTGGCCTTTCTTTCTGTATATCTGTCAAGCTATTATATATTTCAAAGTACATTACCTAACTGTAAGGCTTAAGGGTGCCTTCTGCCAATTAATTACCTATATTTAATCCTTATTAATAGGGTTTACTCTTGCAGAGTTTATTCAGACCTCAGTACTGACTTTATAGCATATCTCTAGTACTTATAATATACCTCTGTTTTTGACCTCAAACTTTTAATCCAGATAGCCCAGAAGGACTATGACCTGTCTCTGATGCCCTAGGGTCTGCCCTCCAAAATTCTTTTTCTCTGATTTGAGACTTTTGACAGCCTAGTTGATGGTACCTCTTATTCAAAGTTCTTATCTACTTAATTTCTTCCATATTGGTATCTGTTTTCTTAGGGTTGCATTAGTCTTATGAAGAACTAGTCTGGACCAGTCCTAGACCTGAGACTGAAGGAACTGCAAAATGGATCAAAGGACTGGTCTAGATTGGTCTTAGATCTAGAACCAATAGGACTGCAAGACCTATTAAAAGACCAGTTCAAGACCAGTTCCAGTTTTAATAAAATTTTCTTTTTTTTATTTATTCTTTAACAATAACTCTTTAGATCCTTATTTTTGGAACTTATATTGCTAAATTTGCTTCAGATTCATTACTGAACTTAAGTTTTTGACTTATACAACTATTAGATTTAAAGATCTCTTGAGCTTGTATTTTTTCAGATAAGTATTCTCCTTTACTCTTCCAACTTTTTCAGGTTCTTTTATTTCATTTTTGTATACATTTATTAATTTATTCTTTTTCTTTTTTAGATTATTTCTTTTTTGAACTTTTGTTTTGAATTGGATCTTTTCTGGTCTTTATTTTAGGAGCATAAGAGTTCTTTTTTTGATTCTTGTTTTTTATTCTAGTTATCTTTTACTAACTACTTTTTTTATTTTAGATCTAATTGATTAGTACTTTTCTTGAGAACTTCTCTATTTTAACTGAATTGGTTGTTGGATTAGGAATTTTAAAATAAAGATAAGTCTATCAATTATTCAAAACTTTGAAAGTATAACTTTTATAAAATATTTTCTGGTCTTTATCCTAGTAGCATAAAAGTTCTTTCTTTGATTTTTGTTTTTTATTTCTAGTTATTTTTTACTAACTACTTTTTTTATTTTAAATCTAATCAATCAGTACTTTTCTTGAGGACTTCTCTATTTTAACTGGATTGACCTTTGATTTACTTTTGGAAGTCTTTTGGTTGTTGGATTAAAAATTTTAGAATATAGATAAGTCTATCAATTATTCAAAACTTTGAAAACTTAATTTTTATAAAATAAAATTATTAACTTTTATATTTTTTATTCTATAGGCTATTATGTATAATAAAAACTACAATTATGTGAAACCTAACATGATCATTTCTTTTGAGTGATGATTTATCATAATAATGATCATAAGGATCATTTTCATATAACCAATCTATCATGCATATATGCATAAAAAATAATAAGTAAATGATTACTATCATGCTTTGTGATTTCATAATGTTCCAACTATATTACAATAGGAATTATCATACAATTTTTTTGACTAGATCACTAGAGTATTTTAATAAGATTAAATATATATAGTACATAGAATAGAAATAACAAAATAATAAAAATATATATAAAGCTTCAATTTTAACTATAAATAAAGTTTTTTTTTAAACAATAAACCATTTTTTTAATTTAATATTTATAAAGTTCTATAATTAAAAGTTTTTAAATATTTATTATCAGTATTTATATTTTTAATCTCGAACCTTTGATTATACATACTTGTGATTCAAATTTACATTATAACCTCTCTAATCTTGATTCTTAACCTTTAATTATAATTTATCAATTTTTTTTATTTTTATAAGTTTTCAATATTATTAGGTATTGCGCTTCTGAAAATATGAGTATTGCTTAAGAAAATGAAAACTATAACATTAGTCTAGATCTTTTTAATGAAGATGATTCTGATTCTGCTTCACATAGTCATAGTAAACATGATGAATTAAAGAGTATATATTCTTTGGGATTAGATTCAGCAAAGAAAAAATCATCTATACAGCTGTATTTCAATAAAGAAACAGATAATAACCCTAGTTTACCTGTTTGCAAAGAATGTAATACAGTATTTTTATTAGAATCTTCAATATTAACATTAAGATACCATTTAAACTACATAATATCATAGCATCAAAACAATCACAAAGGCCCTTAAACCCAAACTTTTATTCAAGCATAAATAGCAAAAATGAAATAATTTGGTTGTAAGATGGATTATTTGTAAAATGCAACTATTTAGTATCATAAAAAATGAAGAATGGAGAAACATGATTTCAAAATTTGATATGAAATACTGATTTTCTAATAAAAATACAATAAAAAATCATGTAAAAAGCTATTTTAGAGCAAAAAGAAGAAATCAAACAACATTACATCAAATTTCTGGGAAAATGGCATTTACTTCTGATTTATAGATAACATCAAACAGCACATTATTTTAAGCCTCACAATTTATTATGCTGACACTTTTGGAAATTAAGGTGTTTTATTCTCAATATTATTCTAATAAATGAATGACACACTAGGATTAATATTGCTAATACAATAATGGATGTCTTGGATGAACATGATATATTTAACAAAACTCTAGCTTTAACTACTAATAATGCATTTTCAATGATTTTGTGTAGTGCACTTATAGCAGAAGAACTTGAGAAAAATTTTAATAATTTCAGTTTTTCTTATTATAGATGTGCAGTCCATGTGTTGAACTTGGCAGTTAGTTAGAGAATTGATTTAATCAATTAATTAAAAGTCAAAGTGAAATCTTTGATATCATATATCAAAGCATCACAACCAACAATTAATAACCTAAAAAAATTATGTAAAATAAAAAGTATTAAGTATCTAGCACATAAACTAGATGTCAAACACAGATGAAATTTCACCTATTACATGCTAAATAAGTGGAAAAAAATAGAATCTTTTTTAATTATGCTTGCAGCTGATGATCAAATAGATTGTAAAAATTTTCAGATAAAAATAATCATGCTAATATTGAGTAAGTGCTATTTTTTTCTTTTATTTATAAATAGATAATTAAAATAAAATAATTATATATTAAAAAAAGGATACGATTATTTTTTTGAACTTATTGAATATGCTACTTGTCTTTTTTCTGCTTCATGTTATCCAACATATAGTGATGCTTGATTCATTTTTCTCAGTATTTAGGATTATTTATTGTAGTACAAAAATAATACCAATTTTTCTCAAAATAAGATGGCAAATATGATCTATTAAAAATTAGATGTTATTGGCCAATATTGAATAAAACTTCACAAGTTTCATTATTGCTTGATCCAAGAATAAAATTAATAGTATTTAGAAGCATAAATAAAAAAACAAAGGCAATAAATCAGATATTAAATCTTACAAAATATTCTTCTGTAGTGTTAGAATCAAGCATTTTTTTTAATGATCTATTAAATATGCAAGAATATTTTCATAACTTATAAATATCTGAATCTTTACAAAAAAATTTCCTATTGCTAATAAATTGTATATAAAATATATTAAAAAAATACTTATTTTTATCTTTGAAGAATAAGACAAATCTGTTAACTTGGTAACAAAAAAGACAACATGAATATCTGAGATTAAGCTTGATTGCTAAAGATTATTTATGTATCTAAACAATGAGTATAGTCTCAGAGCAGGCTTTTTTGATTGTCAGACAAACAATCACAGAATCAAGAAATAGGGTAGATGGAAAAGTTGCTAGAGTGGTTTTATGTTTGAAGAGCTGAATCAAGAGAAAATATGCACTTAATTTTTACAAGCTAAACACTGATATTAATCTTTTTTTTTTAATAATTAAATTCTTTTTTTTTTATTAATTGAATCTTTCTTTTTTATTAATGGAATCTTTTTTTTTTATTAATTGAAGCTTTTTTTTTTTATTAATTGATTTTTTTTTTTTTATTAATTGAATCTTCTTTTTTTATTAATTGTTTTATCATTATACTTGCTTTTGATTTTGAATAAAATAGATTATTTTTTTTTAATATTTTTTTTTTTTATAGTATAATGCTTTTTACTGCAGTTGGCCTTTTTATAGTATAGAAACACAGATTAATTGATTTTTTTTGCTTCAGTTACATGAATCAAAAGCTGAGTTATACACTAATTAGTAAAATAAATTGTAAATTTTGAGCAAAAAATAATAGTAAAAGCTATAATTTTTTTGAGTTTTATACATATTGAAATAAAGAATTGATCTTGATAGGATTAATATTGATTATGAAACTTTAAAAATTCAACTTCGTATCTATAAAATTATTTGTCATAGTTACTTATTGCAAAAAGCTACAAAATATAACTGAATTTAGAGAAAAGCAGCTAATCAAATTTTAATAGAATGATCTAGAATTGATTTCTATTTTTGGTAATATGCTTAACTGTATGTACTGAGTATATGTATTTATATATAGTGTATATATATATATAAAATAATAAATCAATATTTTTTTTCACTTCTTTAATTCATCACTTACACCTACTCCAGCCAACCAGTCATTCAAATTTTTAGGATGTTAGTTTACTCTCAATAACTCTTACACAAAACAAAGCCAAATAATTTATGATGAAGCAATTCAACTTATTAACATTACAGACACCAAAAGAATTATAGACAAACAAGCTATATATATT